GTTCGCACAGTGCTTGATATTGTTTGAATAAGCAGCTAAGAAAAAAGTGGTTAATTTGACGTGGCCAGATACTGCTGTTCCCTGAGCTCTAGGTGTTGGGAAGTGTTATCTGGGTAACACAGGGTTGGTGTAAGCCCTTTATCATCCGTGCAAGTATTTTCTCATCTGAGAGTGGGCTTGGCTGCAGGAGGATGCAGCTTCCTTCCCCCTGGCATGTTTTATTATATCTGCAACTAACCTCTCAGATAGTCCTTTGGGGTTTAGGCCTAAAATTGCTTCTTTCGTCCTCTTTCCAACTCCGCAGGCTGCCGGCTGGGTTACATGTTCACAACTCTTTTTTTTTTTTCCCAGCCTGGAGTCAACTCATGAGCATCGGGATGAGTCCTTTGCCCATCCTGGGAAGAAAGCTAGGGCCTGGCTACTTTCAGAGTACCCCCCCAGAGTCCCCAACTAACCAAATCCCTGGGTTTGTTGATGCTATAAAGCGTTGTTCATCCAGGTCCTCGTGGTACCACCCTCAGTTTCTTGACCAAGTGTCATTCTGAGCGAGCCCACGCTGCCTCCCTTCCCCAGAGGTGGCATCTCGTCATCGTTGGTGTCTGCGGTGGTGACATTTATAGTGCAGTTTTTCATGTGCCTTTGGAGCTCTCAGGACAAGAAGCTCTGTCTGCCTCTGTCATTAATATTATTTATTGCTATAAATCTCCCTTCTGGAGTCTTTGGCCCTGGCAGTTTGAAATATTTGTAACCCTGGTATGGGCACAGCTTCTTTGCAGTGAAAAAGGACCAGGAAAGGCTCGTGGGGGATGAGTGTTGCTGCCCAGGCAGCCGATTCGGACTTGCCAAGGACAGTTTTCCTGGGCTGGGCTCACAGTTGCTCATGTGGTGGGAAAAGGAAGCAGTTTTCCTTGATTTCAATGAAGCTAGGGGCCGAAAGTGCTGGGATTTGAACCGGTTTTGGAGACAGACATCCCTAAACCATGATGGAACTGTTCAGGTCCAGCTCAAAATCTGGAGTTCAAATTTTACTTTCGCTGTGTCCGATATCACTTGGACCCTGCTATTTTGACTAGATTGAGGCAGCATCTTGCACTGGTTTGGTAAGATTGCTGTTTGACTATCACAAAAGATTAAAACCTCTTAAAGTAGAGCAACATGGACAGGATTTTGAGGGCTGCGTTTTCATTTTGGTTTGATATCACGCCTAGATTGATAGGGCAACGGCATTGACATGCTCTGACGCTACACCTGCATAATATCAGTGCTAACAGAGAATAAGGACAAAAGGAAACTGCAGAGCCACATGTTCGAACTATGCCTTTGCAAACCACGGTCAGGCTGATTAAGGGTCTTGTGGTGGTGTTTTTTCAATATTTCTTGGCAGTCTTGGCAATTTTTTGGAGGTGGGAAGGCGAGTGGGAGCCTGAGGATGCGCAGGAGAGCCTTTCAACTCTTTTCGTTGTCTTCTTTGAGTTTGGCTCATGTTGTCTCTTCTGCCTACCAGCTCATGATTGCCTTTTATAAAGTCAATCAAGCTTTAAAGCTTGATTCTCCCAGAACTTAGGAACGTAGTAAGAGATATATCTCTGCTCTCTCTCCCGCTCCTTACTAGCCTCGTCTGCAGAGGCAGCACGGATGGAATCAGGCATCTGAGCTCAGCTCTCATTTCTAGTGTTAGCAAAGGTTGAAAGGTGTCGGTTGTGAGAAGTTGTAGGGACGTTGAGTTTGTTGTGTCCGTGCTGAATATTTGGAACATCTCATCTCCACGGTGGTGTCTACTGACAGGTGAACCATTAGCTGGAAGGGTTGTAGAGCACCTGTTTTGTTTTTTTTTTTTTTTGGGGGGTGGGGATATTGTAGCAGACCAGAGTGCAGAGCTGACTCGGGAGCGTGCTGGCAAGGCGGGTGAGTGTACGAGCAGCGAGCAGCCCTGACCCTGTGATATCCCAGAATGTTGCAAGAAGCTTTGTTCATTGTTATCTCCAGTCTGCATGAATGCAAGGCACCTTCTGTGGTGTGCTTCCTACGTAGAGGCACAACAGCTTCTGAGCTCCTCTCTCAACTCACAACGTTTACTTTTATTTTTTTTTTTTTTCCTGAAAACATCCCAGAGTTGTGTGTGCAGCAGAGGGGAAGAAATCCTTTTACCCTGGGGAAATAACGCAGCACGGAGAGTAGACTTTCAGTGTGTCTGTCTTGGCTGAGCAGGCTGTGGGAAGGGAATCAATGTGCAGATCTGGTGAGATCTTGCTGTGTCTTCAAGATCTTCCCTCTGAAAAGATTGCCCTGTGCTGTGTGAGGTCTGGGTACTTCATGGAGAATATGCAGACATAAAGCAGGTTATTTTAGTGTCTTGACACTCTCCGGGGCCCTGCTTGCACAGGGAATAAATCCAGGTTTTCCAGCAGCACACTTTTCCCCTGTAAAAATATTGATGTTAATGAATTAAAATATTTTGTAAGGGTGTAGCAGTTCTGACAACATTTTGACGGAAAATTATAGCAGTGTTTCACTTAGATAAGACCGGAGCACTTTATTTGGAGAAGAGCACTTTAACATTGATATTCTACCACCGTTTATCACGTGAGATTTGGAGTCTGGATGAGAACAAAACCTTTTGCATACCTTTGAGAACAGCCAGTTCTCACATTTAGAGTAGGTTTTGTTGACAATGATGCTGTTTCTCCTGCAATATTAACTCTTTAATTCAGAAGTTGGACTTTTCTGCTGAAGGGACGTTCTCAGTTTTACCCAACTCGAAGTCTTAAGGCATCAGTTTGTACAGGAGTCTAGGGAAGAGCTTATTAGAATGGTGTATCTGGGTGTATTGGCTCGGCTACAGCCAGAGCTGTTTCTGTGCCTGTAAGTGAAATGGTGACCTTGGGATAATCACTTCATTGTTTTCTGCTTCTGTTTCTCCAGCTGCATCACCCTTGCAGGTGACATCCCAGGCAGTGTGCATCCATATTTGCACAGTGCCCCAAGCCTGAAGGGTGCTACAGAAAGCACCAAGTGCTGTCATTTCCCTGACAGAGCATTAGGAACCTCCGCTTGCTCGGTTAGCAAGAGCCGTGCCAGGGTGAACAGTGCTGAGCTGCAAACATTTGGGCTTTTCAGGTCCAAATCCTCTGCAAGCCTCCCGTGCTTGTGCCGTTGGCACCTCTTCCTGCAATCAGCCGTCTTCTCTGGGATGCTGCTGCGTGTAAAGTGTCTCTCGGGAGGTGACTGTGCCTCTTGCCGAGGAGCCCTTGAACTGGAAATATTTCCTAAGATTTCCTGGGGATTTGTGCTGGTACGGCTGGACTGTCCCCGGGTATGGAGAGGCCAAAGTGGGAGCGATGAAGGGATGCTCCAGCCAGAGTCCTGCTCGTCTCAGGAGAGCTTTGTGCTGAGATTTCGGGGAAGGTTATGGTGTAAGTGCTGCTGGGGATTTCTGAGGTTTGCCCATCTCCTGCTCCACAGCAGGAGCAGCTGCTGTGTTTTCTCAGTGGTGCCTTTCCCCAGGGTCTGTGGCAGCCCGTAGCAGCAGGCTGCAATTCTGCAAATCTTTGCAAAGCTTGTCTTTCCTTTGCTCAGCAGGGATACTCTTTTTCACTAAACCTGGTGTAACCCTGCTGAGTTTCAGCAGGCACTGATAGCATGGAGAAGATAGGGTACCAACCACCTGGGCAGACAATTTTCCCCCCCCACTTTCTCTCATAATACAATTAGGAAGTAGAGAAGATGTGTGATGACCTTAGATGGCCAAATGGGCCAACCCACAGTCTAACTCCTTCTGAAAAAAATTGCATTATTTTTCAAATGTGGCCTCTTAGCATGGGGGCTTTGTGATCCTACATCACTGCTTTGCTGGAAGTCACCTGCTTTTAAACGTTTGCATTGTCATCACGGGCTTGAGTGTGAATTACAGAGGGAATTTGGCTTAAATCTCATTGGAGTTTGGAGAGGACCCAGAGTCAATGCACAGATGATTTATGTTGGGGTTTTAGAGGATGGGGACTACTGATAGAGCTTGTGCCATGCTCCAGGTGCCGGGGAGCAGAGGAACCCTGAGTTTGCTCTTTTGGTGGGGGGTGTGAATGGAGATTGCAGTTGCGATATGCTGTGCACAGATATCTGAGAAGGGAACCCATCAGCAAATAAGCAATTGGTGTTTGAACATATGTAGGTAAGGAATCAGAGATGAGGGGTGTTAGGAAATCCCTCTCAGCTCAGCGCTACTAGGAGAGACAACACTTGAATATATTAAAAGAAGACAGGTAGCACACAAGGTAATAATAGGAGGATTTGGCTCAGCATAATAAGCAGTCATCCAGCATCCCACCTCCTCCACGGCTGTCTGCGGATTCAGCTGTCTGTCGATCCGGCGGGCAGTTCGGTAGATATTCACAGCTGACAGCTTTCCTCCGCTGAGTTTCTGCTCCGCGCTTGTGGATACGCTCAGGTCTTTAACTCCTGACAAAACTCCAGGCGGTGGGATTGCAGCAGCGTGGGTCTGCAGCTCTTCCCCCGCGAGCCAGAGCCAGCGAGCTCCGCACAGCCCTGGCACTGACTCTTCTGCAGGCGAATACTGCATCACCCTGTATCTCTTCATCTGAAGGGGACGTGGGAGAGGAACATGATCAAGTGGCTGGGAGCTTAAAACCGTTGTGGGATTCAGTGCTTCAGCGTGAGTAATACCAAGCCAAATTCACCCTTCGGTGTAAAGGCGAGAGCAACACTGGCATTAACCAAGTGACCTCAGGAGCAGACCAGGGCTGAGGTTAGTCCCTTGTCTTCAGCTGAAATGAAAGACTCACCACGCGCGTCTGGGATACTGCGTGTCCGGGTGTTCCTGAGGGGTTTGCTGCTTATTTTGAGCTGCAGTGCTTAATGGCTTGTTGCCATGAAGGCGGCTTAGCAAGCGTGACAGCTGCCCTGTTACCCAGCCACGGCTTACCGCTCTGTTAAAGGAGGGGTGGATTTAAGCCAGGACACCAGGGTCTTCCCATTTCCCACTTTCCTCTTTCCTTAAGAGCTTGGAAAGCAGCTCTGAAACTCAGTGCGTGCAAGATTTGAGACATTGAGGGCTAGAAATGTGACTGAAGCGGGTGAGAGGTACCTCTCCAGGATGCTCTGCTCTGTGATTAAGCAGGATGACTGGTACGGTATGTGAGTATGGGACCGTGTGAGTATGTGCATGGGAGAGGACGATGTGTCAGAGATGTTTGTGGTACCTCCACGCTGGTGGTGAGAGGAGGCGAGTGCTCTGAGATGGTTTGAATCTTTTCCGAAAGAAAAAAGACTGAGGGAAAAGAGGATAATAGTCTTCAAATGAATAGAAGGTAGCTGTGGAAAGAGATCAATCTGATTTCTATGTCTGCTGGGGATTGGACTCAAATTGCAGTGTGAGAGATTTAATTTAGGCACAAGGGAAAACTTCCCAGGTGCAGGGATAGTCAAGCACCGAGAGCCTAGCCTCTGTCAGCAAAGGTTTTCTTGAACAGGCTTGGGATGATTTAGATGTCTTCGAGGCAGGTGAATGGTGAGCTGAGCTTGTCAGGTCTTTTCCCACCCTCTTGCCTGTAAATCTGTGAGCGAGATTCCCTTTGTGTCTTCTTCTTAAAAGAGAAGTGTGGCAGAGGTGTAGCCCGTTGCTGGGAGGTGGAGGAGCGGGATGAAGGCAGATGGGGAAGCCCTGGTGGGTTAGGACCCGTATTTGTAAAAACCACAGAGTCTGTCCACAGCTGGGGAGACCACCTTACCTGCCCTCCACCTCCAGCTGTAGCTGTCGATCCGTCCCTATTTTATATTGATCACGTGTTATTTGGACCACCGTGTCACCTGCGAGACTTAGCTGTGGAGCACGACTTCAGCAACCTGCTCAGTGCTGAACCAGCCACAAAGCCACCCCGGCCCGAAATAGGTGAAATACAGCTGAAATTTCCAGCTGAAATACAAGGATGCTTGGATACAGGCGGGTGCGGGGGCACATGTAAACAGCGCGAGGGCATTAGTCATCGCGATCCGCAGTAAGTCGTGGCACATCTGCCGTTGTCAGGATTGTTTTGTAGGCATTGCACCAAGCAGGGTTTTACAGAGGAGGTTTAAAGTAAAAGTACTGGATAGTTTTCTAGGTGTTTTTTTGGTGTTTTGTTTTTTTTTTTCTTTTTTTTTTTTTGGGGGGGGAGCTTCTCCCAAGGTAGAGGACGGCGTGGGAGACATCACAAAGGTGCTCGTTTGAAAATGGTAACAAGTGGGTGATGGAGGTTGGGTTTCACGGGCTCGTTGGGGTGGGAGTCAGCGCATTAGTGCTAAATGAGATTATGTTCCTTCTCAAAGCACTTCAGGGACTAAGCACATTGTGTTTGAAGAGTCAGTCAAACTGTTAAGTGTTGCTTGTCTTTCTTATATCATTCTGTGCCCGTCTCCATAGTACTTTGGCTCTGAAAAGCCCATTTTTAGGTCATTTTGGCAAGCCGTTTCACTACTGAGCCCTGTTGTGCCCTGCCTAAAGGCTTAGATTGCCCTTGAATTGCCATGCAGCGAGACACGGAAATTAAGTCACTATTATTTTTTTTTTACAACAAATGTCTACTCATTTAAACCAAAATTGAATCAGTTTCTGAAAGGCTTGTGCCCTTCATACTGTTGCTATCTATGAATAAGCTGAGTGGACAAATCTACTGGCAAGATTTTGACAGTAATGGCAGTCTTTAAGCAAAAATGGACAATATGCGTGGAAAACAAATGTCTGACTTGTAATTATGAATATTTGAGCTTGAAACTTCTCTCTAAACGTTAGGACTGTCTAATCAGGAAACTGGGATTATGCTGTGCATGATAATGGTCAGTCAAAGCTAAGTCTGCAGCTCGAGTGCTCACTAGCTACCTGCCCTACTAACCAAGAGTGTCTACAGCGTATATTCAATAAATCTGTGAAGGCAAAATGACTCTGCTCTTTTCCCACAAGCAAGACGATGCTTTCATTTTTCATGACAAATTGTTCTTTTTGCTCTTTTAAATATGGCGATCATGTCAACCACTCCCCAGTTGGGGAATATCCTGCTACCGGGGCCAGTTTTGATCGTGTTTATATCAACTTGGTACCGTTCTGTGATTCTGTTGTAAATCCAGGGGCTGTTACACCGTTTTACTTCCCAATCAACTCAGCTGTGGATCAGATGGATGTTGGGGTCAGAAGCTGATTCCTTGAGTGCTGCTTTGAGATCAGTGTCCCATATAGAGGGAATTAGCACCAGTGACCCCTCAGTAACCACGTGTGTATTGCAGTGGGTGGGCAGAAACATGCTGGATCCCGTGGGTTCTACAGATTGCAATGGGAATGAAGCTGTCATTATCATCATGACAGCGTACAGATCGTCTGCTAAATGGCTGAAATCCTTTTGTCTCCTTTTCAGAGGCGAGCTCTAGCTACTGAGCCGCTGAAAGCCTCTGAGAACTGACAACGAGCTGGAGACATCTTTTGCTTCAGGGTTGTTGGTTCAACCCTAGTTCAGGTCAGGAGCTGTTTCCGGTGCAGGGACCTTCAGTGACCAAACAGTGAGAGCTGGGATGGTCTCCCTGGGTCCTCCAGGAAAGGAATCACAGCTGCAAAGGGACTGAACAACCACAGGGTTTAGGAGGTGTTTTAGGGATGGCTTGTGAGGTCTTTGCACAAGTGTTCACAGCTCACGCTTTGGATGAAGCTTCTTCCTAAGGCTGGTCTTCAGTGGGCAAGGGTGCTAGAAAGGCAAAGAGAAGGCAGGCGCTTGTTCTCCATGGTGGTAGGTAGCGGGGTGAGCGGCTTTGGCAGAAGCCTTCCTCCAGACACCATGTCCTCAGGCGTTCCCCCCACTCCTCAGGCAGGTCTCTCCGAAGGGCAGGATGCACGGGCATGGAGGAAGCATGCGTTGCCCATGCTGTGGGGAGAGCTGCCGCTCTGGCATCACTCACCAGCACGACACTGATAGAGTAAAACAAACAGCGGGCTGTTTTGGAATAATTTGGTGAAATGCTGTCGCCTGGCATGGAACCAACACACTGCTTAAATCAGGATAAACACAGTCTGGATTCCACCCTCATTTTCCATTCCCAGTCTGCCATGGAGTTATTTTATTTTAGCTGTGTGTAAATCTTACCACATTTCCCTGCAAGGTGTTCAGCACTGCTGCTGCGAAGTTACTAGAGATGAGGGCACAGTTGCAAAACCGAGGCAGGATGGGTAATGCAAGAACCGTGCAAATCAGTTACAGACTTTAAATTGGTTATCCTTTGTGTAACACACAGAAGGAGCAATCCCAAGCAGGAAGGAGCAGTAAAAAAGGTTCATTTTTAATGTAGTTAGAGCATATGTCCATACTGTAAAATACTGCTAGCATTAGTAATAATAGTAATAATCATTAAATCATAGAATCACAGACTGGTTTGTGTTGGAAGGGACCTTAAACATCATCTAGTCCCAACCACCCTGCCCCGGGCAGGGTCACCTTCCACTAGCCCAGGTTGCCCAAAGCCCCGTCCAACCTGGCCTTGAACCCTTCCAGGGAGGGGGCAGCCACAGCTTCTCTGGGCAGCCTGTGCCAGGGCCTCACCGCCCTCACAGTAAGGAATATCTTCCTTATTTTTAGTCTAAATCTCCCTTCTTTCAGTTTAAAACCGTTCTCCCTCTTCCTATCCCTACACTCTTCTGATCAAGAGTCCCTCCCCCCTTTCCCGCAGCCCCTTTCAGCCCTGGGGGGCCGCTCTAAGGTCTCCCCGGAGCCTTCTCTGCTCCAGCTGAACCCCCCAACTCTCTCAGCCTGTCCTCACAGGGGGGTGCTCCAGCCCCCCAAGCATCTTCATGGCCTCCTCTGGACCCGCTAGAGCAGGTCCGTGTCCTTCTGATGTCGTAGGTCCCAGAGCTGGACCCAGCCCTGCCGGGGGTGTCTCATGAGAGTGGAAATAACAGTAATGGTAATAGTAATAGTAAATAGTCATAGTAATAATAATAATTCCATGGCAAAAGCAGCTCTAGCACTGTCCTGTAATTCTCTCTCCTGTTTAATTTCTATAATGCTCCCTGACGGTGTCTTAGGACTTGTGTCAACCAGCAATTTACAGCTGTGGTCCAGGGGTTGACATGGGCCATGAATGTTCCCCTAGGCAGTATGGACAAGGCTCCTCTGTTTTGAACGGGGAGATTTTATGAATATTATCTACACCCTATCACTTTATCTCAGGGCAATGGAGTGGGTCCTGAACCATTATTTTTTTCTAGGACTGACATAGCAAGATAGAGTTTTGCTGCTTACTGCAGCACCTGTGACAGTGATACCGCACAATCTGATTAAAGTTTACTTCTGCCTCTGTTGTCTCAGAAGGTAAGAGTGACTACCCATAGAGAAATAGGCCATTTTTGGTTATTACCAGTTTTATTGTGAAAAAATGGTTTTATTTTCTCTTCAACATGCTTTAATGGGAAAGGCTGGGACAGAGCAAGTCTTACTATATACATGAAAAGCAAAGATTTAAAAAACAGACACTCCATCTGGCCAGCCCACAAACAGTTAAGCCAAAAGCTCTCTCCTCTCTCTCCTCCATACCTCCCCATGTTAATATTGCACAGCAGAGAATGAAAAGCGGGTGCTTGCTTGTTCTGACGTACCCCTGGGAACCCCCTAAGGCATTTACGTGTATCAAAAATCTAAGCTGAATTAAGCTTTGGAAGGGAGATGGAGGGCAGTATTATTCTCTTCCATTTCCAGAGGGTCAAAATAGGCCCCTAAGAAGTTAAGGCCAGTGTTTGCAATCTAAAGCAGATCAGTTGAGAGGACTTTGAAAAGATTGGCTTCAGTGATGGAGTCACATGTACATAGTTGACCTGCGGGCAAGCTGGGAATAGACCTCTGCTCTCCTCACTTGCGGTCCCCTCTCTTGGCACACTGGTTCCCAAACTGCAGCTCGCAGAGGGATGCAAAGTGGCTCATGGCTACTCATCAGAGCCCCGTTAAACTGATCTCAGTAGCCTGGCCAAGAGAAGTGCAGTGGGAAAGGAGTGGGGAGGGAATAACCTGTAGTCTTTTAAATAATGATAGTAAAAAGCATGGAATCACAGAATGGTTTGTGTTGGCAGGGACCTTCAAGATTATCTAGTTCCAACTTCCCTGCCATGGACAGGGCCA